CGGCCCGCGGTCGGCAGATTAAAAAATTCCCATTAGGGTGTTATCATTGGAGCCGGACCTCCTCAGGAATCCATTAACCCTTCGTGTCGGCGTCCATATTGCAATGGCAATCGCGGACGACTTTTAAGGGGCTCGTTCCGGTCAAGCCGCTCGTTGTTTGGATATGCATGAATGTGCCAGTTGCTCATTTTAAGCGCATATATTTAAACGAGTCAGCATTTTTCCGTGTGCATGCGTCAAAACACCCCATTTTGTCTAGCCCCGACTTGATTAAATCTACGTCGTTCATTCTGTTTCGGAGACTTCTGGGTGTCATCAGTCAGAACGGTAGAAATGAGTAGACTATGCAGTTGATTCGGTGTGTTTGAGAGTGCATTTTTAGCTGTTACAGCAGAGTAACGAATCCCTTAAATATTCCCTGATATACCGCGTGACCAGGCCTAATTCTGTTCGCTGACAGCGTGCCCCATGCAGTGATCAGGTTGCCAGTATGCCTGGACACAAAACGGTCGTCTGACGCGGTCTAGGGGGCTGTTAGCAACCAAAATATATCAGCCACAAAACATTGTTTACCGCAGCTGCTTTGTTAATGCGTCAAAGCTAAATATCTCAGCCACAATGCAACGATGTTTCAGTGACAAAAAACAACTTTTTGAATTAATCATGCAGCCGTCGCCATCGCCCCCACCTCCCCGAAAAATATCGTCAAAAACCTACGTTTGAACGCCGACCTCCGACTCGCACATTCGGCGGAACAAACTGCTTCAACAGACAACGATGGCAGTAAACCTAGGCATTTTCGCCAGGCTTGCTTCACCTCTGCCACTCATTAGAACCCACCCGTCCCCTGTCCTGGCCTCTGGCTTCCTCGCGGGCCACCTCCAGCGAGTCTGCGGGGCCGGAGTTGGCGTCGGCACCGCGCCCGGGGCATCCATTACCCGATGGGAGGCTGCTACCGGCTGGCCGGCCCCTTTTCACCCCACTGACGAGCGCGGTGATTCGTTACGGCCCCGAGGCGATCGGTCAGGTCAGGTCAGACGTGAGGGTGCAGCGGCCGCGTCTGCACGACCGCGGCCGCGAGGTGATGGTATCACATCCATCTAGTTATACTGATGAGCCTTTTATCTAGGTGGAGATTTGCGAAGATTCCCGAAGGGTGGTGGTGGACGGAGCGTATGATTCAGAAGCGCAGCGAGTCGGTGAAGATCAATATTCAACGCTCCAGGAGAAAATCGACAAGCATGCATGTAAACGCTAGTAAACGGTAGGAATACTCTGTCACAGGAATAGTACCACCCTAGAACAAATTAGACTTAGGGCCACGGATTCATATATGGAATGTGTCTCATTAGGCCTACAAAGCCCTTTGTTCTCTTTTTTGAACCCTGAGAACTCAGATTTTTCCCTTTGAAACAGCGCTTTCCGAGAAAAGTTTCCATCGGACTCCTGGCTCACCACGATTGAAAAGCATCCAGCATACAATAAGGAACGTTTCCTCAGTATGTGCTGCAGCCAAATAGCTTCCGTGATAAAATGCATGCGATGTTATGGTGTCTTGCCTAGATAACCATATGGCATACGCTATTCACTTAATTATAGTTAAGAAAAAATCCCATAGATCAAGGCTTCTGCGGATGAGAAAAACCATCCAGTCAGCAGGGCCCAAGCTTAACCGCAACGAATTGCGCCGAAGTAGTTCGGATCTTCGAGACATCCGCTCTGCGCTTAGCTAGCAGCCTGATGATGGTGGTGGTGATCCTTGACGCGAGTTAGGTGCTGTGTATTATAGCCTGGGCTTAAAGTCTGATAAAACATTAAATTGGGTACAACTAATTTGCTTACTTAGCACTTTGTTTGGACCCGATTTAACTTTCCGGTGAATTATATACCGTGACAGCTCATTGCAAACAATTTTTGTGCTGCCATTCCTGTCAGCACAGTGGCGTGTGAGATAGGTACCACGATAGAAACCACGAATTATATCGCCCATATGTTTTTCCGCGGTCATTTCATGATACGCAAACATCGTCCACTGATCAGGCCTCCCGCATCGCCTGTGGAGGGGTGTCTCGCCACCTTTCTTCCTCCTCCGGCTGGTACCGGCGCGCGCTCTAACACAACACCGGTGACTAACCCTCCCCAGCGCCATGATTAGCGCCGATGCGTCCAGCCACGCGCCGAGCGACCCGGCACCCACTCCCGGGGGGTGTGGGAGGGCCTTTCAGTCACCTTTCTGCCGGTCGGGACGGCGCCCGCGCTCCCGGCCAGCGCCGGCCGGGGGATTCGCTGCGGATGATCAGACGCATCTGTCGGTCGCGCGGTGCTAATGCGCTTACACGCCGACTCAATGCGCCACCGACGCTGATGACGAATTAATGCTATAGTTGGCAGCGGTGTAATCGCCGTCGAGTCGCTCCTCTATTGTGTCGGCCGGCGGCGCGGACGAGATGACGGCCATTGAAGTCGGCTGCAGCGCGTCCGGCCGCCAAGTTTGGCCGACGACTTTGGCCACTGGCTCGGCGAGCACGGACGGCTATGGGCGAACCGGAAGCGCGCTAAAGTCGGAAAGATATCTAGATTTAGTGGCGGTTTTCTCTATAATTAAGCATGCTAAGGATCGTGCATTATAATATCAAGCGCTGAAATATATTTGATCGAGTCGCGCCAGATTTCACCGTCATCTCTGTATGGAGATTGTGGATGGGACCGCGTTCTGACCGCCATGCCCTACGCTTTCACCCGTTCGGTTTTTGCTGTCGATTGTTTTTGACGGTCTCGATCGATTTATTTGTCGTCATCATAACCATTGAAAATCAATGCCGCAGCGTTGTAAAAGGGAACATTTGTTCAGCTTATGTTAAAACGTCTGAACAATGACTTTACAAATATCTCAGAAATTGTCTAACTGCATCTAACCGTACCCGAGAGACAGAAAATAACCCGGGTAGGTCATACCATTTGCTTGGGCTGAACCACCCATCAGTGGTTACTGTGCACCGAAAGCAATTTTATTGGGGTCTGGTCTGCACCACAAGATCTTTTGTTTAAAATAACCGACCTTCAATATATCCAGAGGCACAAGTTTACCGAGACTATCAAAACATCGTTAGGATATTATCTGTTTCGATAGATTGTTGGGTATTTTTATCTTTTCGATCACCATTGCAAGTTACTTCAGATGTTAGATTTTACACAAGTACTACACATAGTGTACGTGTTACATATTATTGCGTGTCTTGAACTTTCTCAAAACCCCCCTCAAAACCCAAGAATGAACTCAACCTCCTAATATACTGAAGGCCGGTAATGTTGAGCATAACATTTCACAATGCCGAAAACTCTGGCGTAAAAGGCCGTTCGCGCTTGTGTGGTGAGGTCTTATCCACTTTGGCGACATTTTTTAAGTGTGAAATAAGAATAGCTGTGCCTGCTCTTAATTTGCTGAAGTTGAGACCTAGCAACCCAGGTGGTGGTTGCACAAATGGCTCTCTATCATTTTCACGGAGTCTAGCAACCATTCACGTTGATAACTCCGAACTAATCGGATTCGTTTTTTTGCCTTTCTCTGCAAGAGGCCTGAGGCGCACCAAACCGAGCCACTTTTTTCACGCAAACGAAATCTGACACGCGGCATGGAGCTTTTTCCTCAACAGCCTGATGCAACTCATGCACCAGGTGCACTGGTGGAACAGATTAGGAAAACTGATTTGCGCACTACTGCGCCAACATGCACCTGACACGAGCTGACATGAACCTGTTGACCTGGAAGCCGGGAAGTGAGGGGGATATGCTCTAAACTCCAAATCAGGCATTAAAGAGGATTTCGCTGTGGCGACGATTGCACTAAACACGCTTCTGCCCCTCCCAAACATTTCTTGCCGGTGAGCCGAGGCCTTTCCGCTCTGGGGTCCGCACGTGCAGCGTCGCGAGACCGGGCTCGCCCCGGCCGCGAGCTGCTCGTCCCAGCGGTGCCGCCGGCGTGCCGCCGTTTTAATTATCTCCCGTAACAGCCATTTACGCTGGCACGACTCACTTTATCACGGGCGCTAACTGCTGTATCAATTATGCAGGCGTTCATCCATTATTGAGCGCCGCCAGCGGCGGCCGCCGTCCCACGGGGCGGGGTCAGGCGGCGCTCCCGGAGGCTGACACGCGGCCAGTGGTGGCCTTGCGTGACCTCGGCCGCCGCCAGCTACTTGGCACCGGCTCTGCCCTGATTTGTCGACACGAGACGGGTCGAGGCGGTCTGTTTCGGAAAGGAAGGTATTCGACTGAGGAATACTTTGAAGGGAGTTACAACTATGCATTTGGTGCGTTCGAGTGCCACGGTTTGAAGGTGTTTAGTCTTTTCTCAGTACGTCAACTGTATGAATCTTTCTTTCTGTTGTACAGGTCTTTTCCTTAAGGCTCTCTTTATCTCTTTCTCTTCCCCTGTCTTTCTCTCTCTTTCTCCCTCTCCCTCCCTCCCTCCCTCTTTCTTCTGCGGACTGTACGACCTTTCCAGACCTCATAAATTAGAAAGACATCTCTTATGATTTTTAGAAATATGCGTTCTTTTCCGTCACCATCACGTCGCCCATATTAGCAAAACTGCCACCAGCGCAGTGCCCCTTTTCTCATTAACGTTCCAATTTAAACTTTTCGAGCACTCTACTCGGCTCTTTTATACGGTCGTTAATAGAGCTGCTTCGTGGTAATTTCTCCTCTCTATTATCCGATTACGGCGATTGCCGATCGGCAGAGCCGTCGTGCTGCGTCAGGACAGCGTCGCGTCGGCTAGTCTCCCCGCCGTAGGCCGCTCCACCACCGGGCTCGCGCGCGCCGGCCCATCTGCTGTCTCTGCGCTTTATAATGTAGCCGCTCCGTCGACCACCAGCTCTCGATCCTCGAGCGGGGGCGGGGGAGAGGGGGATAGAATCTGCGTGAGGTCAAGGGTGTGGTCTGGGTGTCACGTGCCGCCGGAAGCAGCTTCGCCTCATGTCCGGCCTCTGTCGCTTCAGGCCTGCAGAACCAGAACGAGCTGCTCGACAAAGGCTATCAGCAAGGAGGCGCGCTGAATAAGAAGAAGAAAAAGAAGCGGAGACACAGGTAAGAAGCTGAAGATGCTATTGGGAATTGGTAAATGTGATGATGGAGTCGCGCGAACAAATTATTGATGCAAACTCCTATGCATTGTATGGTTTTCAGTCATTCCAGCCCTTCATTCACATTTTCGTGAAAAAGTGTGACGAACGGTATGTGTTTTTCACCTTCTATTAACAACACAGAAATAGCACTGCATGTAATATTCTAACCTTCTTTTCAGGACCATTTTCACCAGCTACCAGGTAGAAGAGCTGGAGAAGGCATTCAAGGAGGCACACTATCCAGACGTCTACGCCAGGGAGATGCTGTCCCTGAAGACTGACCTGCCCGAAGACCGGATACAGGTAGGATTACAGAGCCATATGCGTGTGTGGAAAAAAAACGCCGTCTGCGTCAAGACAAGCCAGATCCATGGATTTTGGCTGACGCTCACAGGCGCAGCCAAGATGATGGGCGGGAGCGGGAGCCAGGGCCCCCTCTTTTTCCTTTTAGAGCCATAGATGGCTCCTCACAGAAAGCAAAAGATCGGCGTGATGAACTTTCACTGAATTCTGCCCCCTTCTTAAGAAAATCATGTCTCTGTCCCTGCTTAATTGGATCTGTTCTTAAGCTGAACCGGCGGCAGAACTGGACTGTAAAAGCGTTATACATTTTGAGTACAGAAGTCGCCGTTCGAAAAATATTCATGCAAAGTTATTCGGTTGCGAAGGAATTCTCGCATTTGACGCCATTCAAAAGACAGTTTTTATTTTTGCGCAATGAATTGCCGTCTTAGGGGGCAAGGAAAAGCACCACGAATCGCTTTGCTCTCAAGAATAAGCAGCGACCTAACCTATCACTTGGCAACCTGGTAACCTGCCACCTGGTGACCAAACCAGGTACCACCCTTTGGTAAGGCGGCGAGCGACGCTGCACGTCTCTGTTCATGTCCTCAGAGCACTTTCGGCTCATTATAACTTCATAATCGTCATAATTGCCACGGGCGGCTCAGCTCTGTCGAGCATGGCCCCTGAACTGGAGGGTGAGCACAATCACTGCCGCCCTGCCAGCGATGATCGCAGACACGAATTTCGTCCGGTATCCTGCAAGCGCGACCGCACCACATCGTCCGCATCCTTTTACTATTACCTCCCTGCTTCCCTGACCACTCTTGGTTGGCTGGGCAACGCCCCGAACCTGCCGGCACTATCGCCCCCCCCCCCCCCCCCCCCTCCAACTCACGGTCCGTTCCTGCTTGTGGGCGACCAGTTGGAGGCTGCGCGAACCGGTCAGCCGCTCTCGACTCGGAGTCTGGCTGGCCGCCAGTGACTCGGAGTCTGGCTGGCCTCCTGTAAGTTGGAATCGGACTGCCCAGTGGCTGTATTCGGGTGTCTCGCGATTCAAGAAGCGACTCGGAGTCAACCGGCCAGTGACCCAATCAGGCTGTTCTGTGACTAGAGCCAGACAGCCCGGTAACTGGAGTCAAAACGGCCCCGCACCCTTAAGTCGGCCCCTCCCCAGCTCGCATTCGTCGCACAGTAACTCGGCGCGGGGCCGCCCTGTGGCTCAGACTCAGACCGACCATGACTCGGAGTCGGTCGGGCCTGTGACTCGCGGCCTTTCGCTCCGTGACTCGCGGCCGGCCAGCCGTGCCAGGTCAGCGCCACGCCGGCCGGTAAGCCGGCCAGGCATGCGCGGCCGGCCTGTGATGTGCCGCCAGCTTAGGCGGGGCCCCGGCCGGCTCCACACCTGTGAGCGCGCCGGATTACGACGGTGCCTCGCGCCCGCCGGTACCTCCCTACCGGCCGCCGCGCCCCCGCCGGCACGCTACCGCTGCTGCTGCTGCTGTTGTTGCCGCTGCTGCTGCTGCTGCTGCCGCCCGCCGGTGCCTCTCTGCCGACCGCCGCGCCCTCGCCGGCACGCTACTGCTGCTACTGCTGCTGCTGCTGCTGCTGCTGTCGCTATTGCTACCGCCGACGGCGCCGATACTGTCGTAGCGCTGCGGCGGCGGTTACTGTCGGCAAGGTGGCCCTGGCTGTATGCAACCAGCTGCAAACGAAGCAAGTGGCTGCAAGCTCCAATTGCATCGGATGCAGCAATATGGCTATGGGAGCCAGGTGCATCATGAAGACCTTCCAGCAAACAACAAGCCAGACTCAAATGAAGTGTTTCCTAGTTTTTCTTGAGACTCTGAGGCGATTTAGAGAGCCTCTTAATTTGCACGTAAGCTTCTTTGCAGGTGTCTGAGGACTCGCACTCAGAAACATGAGTTGCTCCGCGATGACAGACACAGCCTCCGTGTCTGCCGTTGTTGGTGAAGGAGCTCTTTGTGGTTCACACCCGCGCGTCCGTCTGGTTTACGAAACCGCCAGCCCAGACCGGCTTCGGCGGGTGTGGCGCAAGCCGCTCGGCCGATGGGTCGGCTGGCGGACGCTGGGTTGATCAGCCAGCGGACAGTTGGTGGGCTGGCAGGCGCTGTTTTGGTTGGCTGGCGGACGCTGTGTTGATCAGTGAACAATTGGTCGGCTAGCGAACGCTGTGTTGATCAGTGGACAACTGGTCGGCTGGCGGACGCTGGGTTGATCAGCGGACAATTGGTCGGCTGGCGGACGCTGTGTTGATCAGTGGACAATCGGTCGATTGGCGGACGCTGTGTTGATCAGTGGACAGTAGGTCGGCTGGTTGGTCGGCTGGCGTGGAGAGCGAGCTGGTCGGCAGCAGGTGGGCTAGCTGGACGCCATGCTGCGCCGCCCTCCTCACGACCCCGCACAGAGTCTCGCGGTTGCCGTGCGATGCGAGCGCATCCACAGCCACAGGGGCTTGATGCTGGCGCACACACTCGGCCGTCGGTTTTCCTGCACAGCCCCACGCCATGTTTCGGCAGCGCGGCGGCACGCGTGGCCTTTCCATCGCGTGCCCTGAACACGGCATGTGCTCGCGGCGCGGAGCGCGCGGCGGCCCTCAGATGTAGGGCAGATGCGGCATGCGGTGCCCGACAAGGCGGCCTAATCTCGCATGCCGGCTTGAAAAAGGCTTCACCGCAGTTGTAGATCAAGTGGCACACCCATTCAGAATCATGGCAGCGCCTCAGTATGGCGCCTGCTGCTGTCTTTGATCCGCCCCTCGGGCCGGCGCTCGCTCCGCGCGCCTCACGGCCTGCGGCGGCGCCCACCGTGTCTATCGTGGAGGCGGCCCGTAAAGCAGCACCACTGGGTCCCAGCGGTCATTTGGACAGAATTGGATGGTCGTTAGGAGGCGGGTGTGAAATTAGTTGGTTGCCATAAGGCCAGACACGGTATCAATTTGCACGCGCCGCGAAACTTCCGCTGCGTTTTGGAGCGGAGTATGACTGGGTACATGTGGCTCATGCGCCGTAGTCTAAAAAGGGCTTCTTTTGCCAGCTTTTCCCATTGTCAAGGCGCACGCAATGCAGAATTAACTTCGACAAGATTGTGTGAAGGCTGATGGGATCACTTTTGACTGGCCATTTTCGACAGTGTGCATACCATACAATGATGAGCTTGGTGCAGATATTGTGTGCATTGGCGTGTTTAATGGATATGTTGGTATACCTCCTTATTAGAATCATGCATCATGTTCCATTGCCTGCATTGCGTAAAGCCAACAAATTTAGGAAAATGGCGCTTGCTGGACAAACATTGCTAAACTTGAGAAAACGTTCAGCAAACATTGCTGTTGGCAATGCTCGGCAAACATAGCCAAATCGTCCGACACTGGGCTTTACGAATGGTTATCGAACTAAATGATTTTGTGCAGCATAGCTGCAGGTCTCGCGAGACCACAGCAGCCCCTGGAGAGGTGTGCTGAGGAGACCTAAGCCTGATTGATTGGTTTATGTGCATTAAGCGTCAAACGGGGCTCATGCCATGCTTCCCGGACTGAATAGAGACTGATCCCCGCTCCCACACAACGCCTTGTGTCCATACTTCTTGTGACTTAAACAAAGTCAAGGACGGGCTGCATTTCAACAGCGACTTACAAGAGCCTGGTCGGTTACTTAATGGACGGCCCGGGCTGGAGGTTCATTGGCTTAAGTAATCGTGGACTTTGCGATGGATGATCTTTATCTAAGATAAATCAAGTGGTGAAGAGTGAAGCGTCGGCATACAGTCTGTTCACGTGTCTGTCATTGCCAATCACGAAGGCAAGACACTGCATTGCCATCCATCAAAGGGCCTGGAAGCCGCAATAAAGCTTCTGACTAATTCGGAGCGTAAGCTTTATTTCCTTGGTAACAGGTGTGCTTTTGGAGTCGCAAATCCAGCCCTCGCGTGCTCGAGGCGTATTTTGGTAGAGCCGTGCTGAGCTGGTGTGGGTGGCAGGGGTTTTCATCCCTGTTTTGAATTTCCTGATGCCAACGGGATTATCTTTTCTAAACCGCTTAAACCTTTCGCAATTTCCACGGACTCATGGTGGCCTGGCTTGCAATGCACGAGGTCGTCTTGCCAGAGCAAACTCGGGCTGTAAGCCGGTTATCATGCAACTCGCCGAGTCTGCAAGGAAGCGCGCGCTCACTTCGATTCATGAGGCATGGGTAAAATGGTAGGGACATAGGACATGGACCATGGGACATGAAACATGGGACAGGGGCATGGACTATGGGACATGAAACATGGAACAAGGACATGGGCCCTGGGACATGAAACATGGAACAGGGACATGGAACATGACACATGGGACATAGCAAATGGAACATGAGACAGGGGCATGGGACATGGGACATAGGACAGGAGGCAGGGACATGGGACAGGGGTGCGCGGCTCACGCAACGTCCCATGGTCACGATGGACAGGTACCTGTGCGTAACAATGATGTAACTGGCGACCACAACACTCGTTTGTGATTGCCCAGCGCGTCAGATTATTACCCCGGCGGCGCTCTGAGCTGGGGGCAACATTAGTGGAGTATGGCAACACAACAGGCAATTTGCCACGTAGGGCGTACTCTGCTCACCACGCTGGTTCCTGCTCAGTGGACTCCAGGCGCAGTGCTCAGGCCGATGGCACCACCAGTGCTCTTGAAGTCTGCGGCCATAGGACAGCCCAGAGCTAAGTCCAGTCAAGCATTATGACAGGCTGGGGCGCCGTGACATTGTGTGTGTGGAGGTGCAAGCAAGGAGGTGTATGCAGAGCGCAGTCTCGAGACGCCCCGAATCCAAGCGTTGGTGTTGTGAGACGCGGAGTGAAAATGGCTGTTCAAAGTAATGGCCAAGGACCCGCCCCTGGACGTTCCCTCCTCACGGGTCTCTGCTTCCCTGCCGCCTTGGCGCCCCTTCGCGTGCATTCTCTTACGTCACAGCCTCGCGGGCTCTCCGTTCTCCGTCATATCCGGAAGCCTCCCGTGCGCCCGTGACTCGATATCCATAATCTCCAGCACTGCCTCCACGGGCCTCTCTCTGGCAATGCACCACAGTCTAATTCATCTGCACCTCCCCCCCCCCCCCCCCTGCCGTGGTATCAGCGCCTCCAGCATGCGTCCTCTTCCCCTCCTCAGCCTCTCTTGCTCTGTTTCTGCGCCTTCATGTGTCTCCTGCGCAAGCACCTCATCTGCTCCTCTATCTTTGTCACGGCGCCTCCTCCGTGCCTTCTCTCCCCTCTGTACCACACCGGGCGCCCCACACCTCCCCGCTCCTCTGCCTCGTATCTGCAGACTGCACCTCCTCTGCGCCGTCGGCACCGCTCTTCGTCGTGCGCCGTAATTGAATCAGTAAGGTCTAATCAGGCGGGCTGCGATTGGCTGGAGATGACAACATTAGCCCCGTCGCCCAGGCAACGGCGGCGGCGGCCGCTGGTAATCGACCGACGCTGATCCTATTATGGCAGCCGGGCGGCCGGAGAAATCCGCCAGTGTCGCACCTAATTCCTGTGCGTATCGTTCACGTCAGCCGAGTCCGGTCAGAGTGTTGGCGCGGTGCCAGCTCCGGACAAAAGATTCCGTGGATATAGACGGCGAATGATGGCGCGCTGCGACACGGATTTGTCTCTTCTTCACTCAAGGATGTTTAAATATAGACGTCTGGTGCTGGACCGGCAGCAAAAAATTGTGTAAGGACGTCAACTGACGTCGGAAGTGGGGCCGGAAAGGGAGGCGGCTGAGGAACATTTTCTGCCTTACTACCTTGGGAAAATTTAGCATTAGACCTTGTGCGATGCATAAAAAGAAGCGAGGTCAATATGATGCTTTCCCCTCACCATGGTCTTAAATTATCCGCCTCGACGACCCTCGCCGGTCGCTCCATCTGGTTGCATATGAAGTCACACACGTTTATGCAACGCTGAGAACATTTTTCAAGAAGGGGCAACGCAGGCAGCGCAGGGAACGCATGGAACAAAACGTGAAGCCGTTGCTCACGGCATCTGTCATGCCCTTTTCTCTTGAATCCAGTGTGTTCGAGCCCTGGCGTGCCCCCCCCCCCCTCCCCCAACAAGAGTGGAATGAAATGAGAATGGGATGAAATTGTATGGGAGATGTCCGTGCTTCCGTAAGGACCGAAGTAGAAAGACCACCGCCAGTACAAAGACGGATATACATATGTATATATATATATATATATATATATATATATATATATATATATATATATATATATATGTGTGTGTGTGTGTGTGTGTGTGTGTGCGTGTGTGCTTATAACAGAAAGGTTTTCTAGCCTGTTGACTTGAGAAGGAAAGCTTTAGAGGTGGAAGTTATTTGAGTCCTTTCGG